ATAGATAAATAATGATAATAATCATAATTACATGATAAAAATAATAATAATAATAATAATAATAATAATAATAATAATAATAATAGTTTTTTATATTTATCATTAAATATAAAACTTACGGTACCTACTTGCACGATTACTTCAAGTTTAATTTAGTTTTTTTTTTTTTTTTTTTTCAATTTTCATCTCCTTGGTTTTGTTTTGTTTTATATGTTTACATTGTGTCATATTATTTCATTAGTCTCTTTTCACGTATGTTAGATTGAGTATGAAGGCAGATCAGCAAGTACTTACGCATTGATTTCTTACTAACTTCATAAAAACAAACACTTAAATCGAATACAATAAGCCAGGAGTTGTTACATTTTTTCCTTTTCTTTTCTAATATGCAGTTGTTTTATAGTTGCATTGAATCATGATGATCCACATCTATACAAAATATCACATGAAATGATACACTTACCTCATACTTCTTACAATTCATTACATTAATTGCACAAGTATAAGAAAAGGTATCCTAATTTTACTTCATTTTTGTATAATAATATAATAATGTTTTGGTCTTGATACATGGCAAAGAAAGAATTAAGTAATTAAAAATAAAAAAAACAGTTCTTGTATACAGTATCGGGTGTATGAAATTAATCGTAAAAGTAATTGTCAAATCTCTTCCTGACAGGTACGCAGACACACAGAAAAAAAGTTAGATAATAGATGAGAGCATGTAAAAAATTATTTTACGAAAACTATTGTAGCCATTGATAAGCAGTGGTTTTTCATTTTCCTGTGACTAATTGTACGTACACCTACAATTGGCGAAAAAAATGTTTGAACGTGATATTCAATTTTTGTCATAATTTTCTTTGCACTTGAACAAAAGTATCTAATTTAAATAATTAAAAGTCACTTACGAGCATTTAACATCTTATAAACTTTGGGAACAAAATATTAACTTTTAGCAGCACTCAATTATTATACCAACGCAATTGGTTACTGTACAACATGTAAAAATGTAAAAATATTCATTATATTTAATTTGTTAATGTTTATTTATTTTTTACACTGATTTCACACGCATGTTTAAAAAACAAATAAGAAACATATCAGATATTATTTAACATCATTTAGCATCTACTGCATTAAAACGTCTGCACAGACATTTACGATGCAGGTAACTTTGTATTGGATTCGCAAGAAAAGTAGGGCTGAGCAAAACCCATAGAGGAGAAATTATACCGCATTAGTAGGCTTTATTATCCCAATGAAGTTTAACCGTATAACGTTTTGCATGGCTAATACGGCGATGTCGGTCATCGATACGTTGTACATACGCTGAGAAACATTATTTCATGCCTATGCATTTCTAAAACACGTAGTTCCACACATTCACTTTTTACATACTGTTTCTCATTTGCTGTATTGCGTTAAACAAAATAAAATACAAAGATAAAAAGGATAAAAAAATAATTAACAACATAATGAGCAAAAAGTCAGAAATAAATGAAGAATCGACCAACGAAGGAGAGAAAACAAAATGTTATGAATACTCGGTGCAGATGATGCGCTGGCAGATGCAATTTTTGGGATCATGGCCATTTGAATCTTCAGCTGGTGCAAAAACTTTTAAAATGATCTTGATTAGCATACATTATTTTCTTCTCGCTCTAATGATGATCCCCTACACGTTGTTCATGTTTATTATAGTCAAGGATTTTAAGGTAACACGTTTATACATCACAATTTCCTATTTAAATTATCGTTTTTTTTTTTTTTTTTACAAAGAAAATTAAAGGCACGAATGTATCAGCACAGTGTTATGTAGGGAAAAAAATTCAGTTCAAATTTTAAACATTGCTTACATTGCACGTGTGCCCATTATATTTTTTGTTGAAAACCAAAAGCCAAGATACTCATAGTCGTTTACTACTACTTTAATAATTTCCTTTTCAAATTTAAACTTTTACCTTATCTTTTCTCCTACTTTCTAAATATCACTGTTTTTTTTATTTCCTCGTAGTCACTTGGATTTTTTTTTCTTCGTATTCTTCTAACTTTTTCAGCGTGATTTGTAATATCTATTTTGTATCAGCCACCACTGCCACATCATCTGAAAATTTTGGACTATAAATACTGCTCTTCATCATCCCTAAGTGTTTTCTTTAAACTAGTTTTTTTTTTTTTTTTTTTTTTTTTTTTCAATTAATCTCCGTCAACAGTATCAAATGTCATTTTAAAACGTATGAAGCAAACATAAAGTTTTGTTCCCCTTATTTATAAATTTAACATATTTACAATCTCTAGTTACAATTACTTGTCTTTCGTTAATGATTTTTCTGGTTTTTAAACTTACCCTCGATTTATTGGCCAATATATTTGTCAAAATTTTACATCAAACATCCAATAAAAATACACCCTTGATGTTAGACTTTATTTTCATCTTCACAAAGTTGTAGCTTAATTCTATGAAAAAAAATTTGTATTTTTTTATGATTTTAAACGCTTGCACCAAATTTCTGACTGCACGTGTTGTACGTACACGCAGACTCGATTGAGATTAGCGGGCCCATGGAGTTTCTGGTTCATAGCGTCCTTCAAGTATACCATTTCTTTGCTGAAGAGTGGCGTTATAAAAAATTGCTTGCTCCGGATGTCGACCGATTGGCACACGATGAAAAATCAAGCCGAAAAAACCATGATGCTCGAAACCACAGAATCGGCAAGATTGTACATAACATTGTGCGTATTGTTTTCACACGGCAGTGGCATAGCGTACGCCACGATGTTTACGTTTACCCAGGAGCCCGTAACGGTCAACAACGCCACCATCAGACCACTGGCGTATCCTGGTTACTTCTATTTTTTTGATCCACTAGTACGACGTTCCTTTTTTTTTTTTTTTTTTTTTTTCATACCTTGGAATAAGTATAAAAAATATGGCTCTGATTCAAAAATTTTCCATCAGGAAAAACCATACTACGATTTCCTTGTCGTCGCTGATGGTCTCATTGCTCTCAGTCAGTTCACGATGAATACAGCCGTCCATAGTTTCGCCATTATCTGCGTCATGCACATATGCGGGCAAATAGAAGTCACGTCTGCGATGCTGAAAGATCTTTTCGGGAAATACGACGATGGGATCTTTAAAAATATCATTAAAAAGCACTTGGGATTTTTAAAGTGCAGTAAAAATGAAATACAATACAATGTGAATAATACATAAACCATACTATTAACTTTTTTTTTTTTTTTTTTTTTTTAGTTTTGCAGCTGAATTGGAAAACGTATTGAATGAAATGTGCTTCGTCGAAGTGATTGGGTGCACATTCAACATATGCATGCTGGGCTTTTACTGCCTTACGGTGAGACATTGCAATGTATCGTTATAATTTTTTTTGTCAACTTGTACTCAAGCTGTATGAATATTTTTAGGAATATGATCCAGATAATTTGCTGGCTCCTATCATGTACACCACTCTATTTATTTCGTTCACCTTCAACATATTTATTCTTTCTTTTATAGGTAAGTAATTTCAAAATGTTTAAAAAAAAAATTGATATAACGTAAGCAAATTGTCTTTTACTGATACACTTTAACTCACCTCGTAACAGCACAAACAGTTCAAAAATGTTTTTCAAACGTTGTGAAGACATTTTGAACTTTTTTTTTTGTGTGTATGCATATCGTACAATATTCTTAATAAAAGATCTTTTCCCTTGCTCAGAAGAAATCTGAGTGTATATTCAGCGCGTATCGAACTCGTGACATTTAGAACAGAGTCACCATTTCATCGATCTATCAACAATCAATTATCAATTTTCAAACAGCGCTTTTTCGAGTCATTTTACCCTTAAAGCATACTTTTTGTAAGACTGTGTAAATTGATTTTATGAACGGTCCATCCAAGCTTTGTTGTACTCTTCAAAATTTTAGCTTACATGGAAAAAGTTTTTGTTTAATTTTATTTCTTATCGAGTAACTGAAAATTTCTCTTTCATTTTCTTTTACAGGAGACAAACTTACAATAAAGTGCAACAGTATCGGAGATATCGCTTACATGGTCAATTGGTACGAATTTTCGGGTAAGGAAGCTCGAAACCTTGTCTTGACTATAGCGGCTACAAATCGCCCCGTTGTTCTAACCACTGGGAAAATTGCTACGCTATCCCTCAGGAATTTCGGCAACGTTAGATTTTACAATGTTTTCAAGTGGATGTCGCGCTGTAACAAAATACGTTACAAATATATTACCAAAAATGAAATGAAATTTTCTTAATTTCAGGTACTAAAGGCGTCTTTCAGCTATTTAAATTTCCTTCGAACAGTTACAGCGAACTAACTTGAAGCTAAACTTCATTGTATTGAATTTGCACGTAACTCGACACTTCGGAAAAAAAGACCCCTTTTGGTAACACAAAAACTGAGTTTAACTGCTTCGTAGTGTTGTCTAAAAATGTAGTTATAACTGAGAAATTAATGTGTAGTAGATGGTAATGCTCTAGGAAATAAATGTTTTATGCAACGTTATGAAATTGTTCATATTTTTGCGACTTTGCCCAAGATTGCATCCAAGTATTACTTCCGCTACTATAGCACTCTAAATTCCTCTCGTACTCATAATTATTTCGTTAATTAAATATATAAAAAGTGCAAAATATGTATAATTTTGACTCACAAGTTAGATAATCATAATGAGGATAAGTTTCAACATTTTTTGACTCTCAATGTGTGAAGTTAAACTTCAAGTGATTGTTCGAGTATCAATGTGTTCAGCAGGTGTGCCAGGTATATAAATTTCCTACAAGTATAAAGCTTTGCACGCAATAATCGTAAAAATATTCTCGCGGTAATGAGAAGTTGAACTTCGCTGGTAAAACCTACGTATGATTATATTTATAAAGGCAACTTATAAACTTAACTTAATAATTAAACGTACTTATGAGCTTCAAGTACCTGCTTACAGCTTTTGATCTAATGATCAATGCAAATATTTTAATACGAAATATGCAGTTTTCAGTACACTGGATAAAATCTGTGGTTTCATTTTAAGGTTTACGTAAATTTTCGCTGTAACATGATGAACAACCCTTCAAATTTTGTTTTATCTTGAACTTTTTCAATTACTCTGGAAATCACCTTCTTAAAAAATTATATTTTTGACTCGGTTAAAAATGTGTTCCCCGTACATCCGAAGTATTTTTCTTATTAAATATAAATCTTGACATAACTTTTCAAAAATATCGATTACCAGGAAAAAATCCAACCGTCATTACAGTACAGGATCATGTACTACTACATACTAAGTTTTGCTGATCGGTTTCATCAGTTACAAATAAAATGAAATGAAATGTAATTTAGTTTTTATTTTTTTAGATAATACAGATAATAAATTACTGGATGGCTAACGATGTGAGTACATACTAAAAGATTTTAATGGGTATATTTTATTATTAAATGAAATTGAGTTGAAAATTCAGGTAAAAAATTATCCCTTGCCAACTTGATTGCTTGCATGGATAAAAATGTAAACAGAAAAAACACTTGAATCTCAAATTGGTACATTTTTTTCGTTACGAGAAAAAAAAAAAAAAAAAAACCTTTTGCAAGTTTGATGAGCGTCGCCGCGGAGATGGCTATAGGAGACACAAATATAAACTTGCAAAGATTATCCCCGGTACATAAAACTCTGTGGTCAAAGTGTATACGTAAAGTACGATTAGAGAAAAATAACGACTTTAATGCGACGCAAAACCCACGCGTGGGTTGTACACCCGGAAGCATCACCGAGGGGAAGGTAAGTATGGACAAGTAAGAAAAAAGAGCGCTTACACGTATCAGCAAGAGTAAAAATAATTGCTCGCCGATATGCACATATCCACGGCGAACTGTAAAACCGCTCGAGCAGCTATTATATTTATTATTTCAAAGCAATTTTCTTGCACGTGCACGTACGACCAGCGTACATATTTGTATACAAGGGGTTGAATGAAGCTAGGGGTGGAGGGAAGAAGTTTTCCGGAGACTATACATAGACGCGTTTGTTGAGAAAAGAAAGGGGTGTATTGGGCAGTAAAATCGCCCCATTCGCGGATAATTGCTCTTTACAGTCCCAACCTTGCATTGTACGAAGTTACTTTAAACGCTCGAAGCTTTTTGTCTTTCGGCTTTTCTTCCATTTTTATTATTTTTCCAACTCTATACATATACCTTTAATCAACTGCTGTCAGGCGGTATTGTTTCGTAAAAATATTACCAAAGAGTATACACGAGTATTAAAACAGCACGGAAAACCATATAGCTTTCCTCGCTCGAGACTGAACGTCGGGGGGTAAGGTATAAAGCTCACTTGGTGACTTGGCGAGAGCATATCCATACATATAATACGCCGAGCAATTAAACGAGGAAAACATACACATTTCCCCCCCCCCCAATTGGCGGATGTTAATTGTTATACTTGCCGTTATGTCCACAAGTACAACCAACCGATCGTTATCGAGAGGCGCAATTGAGTATGTCTACAAGACTATACGCCAGTAGAGCTCTGGTTCGTATCTTTCTCGGGTGTACCTGTATAATATATGCTAGACAGGGGAGGAAAAAAAAAAAGAATCCTTGGTGTAAAATGCGAGGAAAGACGTGCGAAAAAGCCCGGGATTTCAGTTCGATCGAGGTGAAAAGCATGAGAAACGCGGCCGATTTCGAGTACGCGGTACAAATGACGCGCTGGCTCCTCCAGCCCCTGGGAATCTGGCCCAGGGATTTTTCCACCTTCCCGCTCGTCGCGCGACTCGCGTCCGTAGCCATGTGCACGTTCCTCCTGGCGTTTCTCCTGATTCCTTGTTGCTTGCAAATGTTCCTCATCGAGAAGGACCTCGGGGTATGAAAAGAAAAGAAAAGAAAAAAAAATACCCCTCACTCGGCATCTCAACGATTCCCTCGCAGGTGCGGCTGAAAATGATAGGTCCCCTGAGTTTTTGCCTGATGAGCGTCTTCAAGTACTTCGCGCTCCTGGCCAAGGGCGGGGAGGTCGGCTCGTGCCTGTCCATCATAGCCGGGGACTGGGACGCGACCGCGAGCCCCGACAGGCGGAGCTTCATGCTGGACAACGCGAGGACCGCCAGGTACTTTACGAGCGTGTGCGCTCTGTTCATGTACGGGGGTGGGCTGCCCTACTCCACCATCTTGCCCCTGACTCGCGAGGCCATCGTCGTCGGCAACGGTAGCTACCGGCACCTCGCCTATCCCAGTTACTTTGTCTTCTTCAACCCACACGTTGGTGCATCGCGTTAAAACGATTGTTCTTTTTTACAGGGGGGGGGGAGGGAGGAGGGAAAAAAAAAAAACAACCCAAGTCTTGCTTGCTTGCAGGTGAGACCCGTGTACGACGTGGTTTTTGTCGCCCACTGCCTGTGCGGCTTCGTCATGTACTCGGTGACCGTTGGCCTGTGCAGCGTCGCCATCCTCTGTATAATGCACATTTGCAGCCAGTGCAGCATCACCTCGTCGATATTGCGAGGCGTCAGAGGCAGCCTCGACGAGAAGACCTACGGGAAGATCGTCAAGCAACACATGTGCTCCATCAGGTGTGGAGATATTTTCATTTTTTCCATGTCAATGATTTTTACGAGCGAAAGAAAAAAAGAAAATACAACTTATTGTACGTGGTGTGCATGAAAATGTGTAGGTTCGCGTCGAAACTCGAGGGCATCTTGAACAAAATGTGCTTGGTGGAGATGATCGGGTGCACCTTCAACATCTGCATGTTGGGCTACTATTTGATAACGGTATGAAAAAAAAACAACAACAAATAAATAAATAAATAACGCCGATATTGAGCAAATTGTATGGTTTCAGGATTACGAGCAGAGCGAAGTCATCGGTTCGATATGCTACGGGACTCTCCTTGTATCCCTGACTTTCAATATCTTCATATTCTGCTACATCGGGGACTTGCTGTCGGAGAACGTAAGAAACATGCGGGGGGGGGGGGGAAAGTCTTTGGTACTTACTCTTATAACAATTAAAGATAATTATTTTTTTTTTTTTCAGTGCCAGGAGATCGGTAAGGTTGCCTACGCGATCGATTGGTACAAAATTTCCGGCAAAGAGGCGCGCCATCTCGTTATGGTGGTCGCATTGACGCAACGACCGGTTTTGTTAACTGCCGGAAAAATGGTCGATCTGTCGATCGGGAGCTTTTGCAACGTGAGTATAAAAGAAACACTCGCAAACAATGTTCGCGATTTCGCGTAATAAGTACATGTGTTGCATTGAGGATATTTTTCAATGTACAGGTATTAAAGGCCTCGGTGACGTATCTCAACATGCTCCGGACTCTCACTGCAAACCAAGACTAGGGTCCCTACATAAATAATATATTTCGTTGTTTCTTATATTACTTGCACTGATAATTGATCGACATTAAGCATAATAAATACAAATTACACGTGTATAGTAGACGGTGACATGTTATTAATATCAACCAATAAGCCGTGCGCGGTGGTTTTTAACAACTTTTTCTGTAATGATCAGTTTGGGCTGTGGGTTTTTCTTCTTTCTTTTTGTTCTGTTTTGTTTTGCGGGTACCTATAAGTGTATATGCAAAGGGTACACTCTGCCGATCGGGTGATTGCGTCTTCTTTGCTATATGGGCATCGGATGGCAAAAACTATAAAAGGGAAAGACAATCTTTGGATATAAACATCCGATCAGTCACTTGAAACATCTCATCGAGTAAACGAGTGAGAGCGACATGAAAGTCAAGGTTACGATGCTGTTGTTTTTAATCATCGCTAAAATAATCAAAACACTTTTACTTCTCGAAAACAATCGAATTTCATTTTGCGATTTACAAAAAGCCAAGGTGTGTATGGTAGAGAATTTTTATATCGCGTCAACGGAAAATTTTAATTACGTCTAATTATGATATTTGTAAAAGGCAGTTTTGTGCGATTGGACGTTAATGCCCGATTTATTGTACGTCGTTGTCGAGGGACGTTCTTCTTTGGAGGATGTTGGACAATTGGCGGAGCTGATCGTTCGATATTTGAATTTAAAAATGTGTTTGATGGACTTCTCTCGAGGTGCGTATGTTTGGAAGTCAACGTCAAGTTTATTTGGGTCGATGTCCCAACTTTACGGATCAAAAATAGTCGTGTGGTGCGGTTTGTACAAACAAACGTTTGGTTGAAATTCGTGAATCTTAGCTGAGCAAGAGTATAGGGACATCGACCTTTTTGTATTCGATTCGAATTGAGACAAACACTTCTTTTTTTTTTAGGACTCAAGGTGTCTCGAATAAAGTACTTTTTAATGTTTTTAAGCAATATTTTTCCCCCGTTGCATTTGGCACGTGTAAGCTTATTACAGTATCCGTCATCTTTTGCCATTCCGCAAATTACTGGTCTACTGTATGAATCCACGGATTTTTGCACCAAAGACAAGCTCTACGTATAGCGTTTTTAACAAGATTCGTTCAACTTGCAATTCATTCTTAATAATAATATTTTAAAAATTTTTTAACCAAATAAATACATCATTTATGTTGTCAACGTATAAGCAATTAAATTAAAAGTAAGTAATTAAATGCTACAAAGTTAATTTTCGAATCTCACGAGTGTTCCACTCGCCGGTGTATTTTTTGAATTTTCACGCCTCCTCCCACTATTATACTGCAACGCTGCGGCGGCACCACCGGAACCAACGAATGGCAACGCAGCAACTGCCTGTTGCTGTCTTGCTCTCATCTGCACTTTGGTCTGCAAAAAAAAAAAAAAAATTTCATTGTGCAGTGGCAAGGCAAACTGGCAACAAATTTCTTTTTCATTTCACTGTGGAATGTCAGTAAATGCATTCACACTCTCAGTTGTTGTGTCGTGTTTGCCATGAGTGCATTGAGTTTTACACTCGTCTTTGCTTTTGTGTTGAGTAAAGACTCGACGTACTGAATAATATATAATTGACAGCGCACTTAAGTAGTCGCACGTGAGCACGAAGTTTCTCGAGACTTTTATAATTACTTTTCGTGTTAATTAACTAACCTCAGCCTTGTAAATCAGTGTTTTGCATCGAAGCTTCATAACGTCTTCCTTCTCTCTCACTCACGCATGTAAGTATACATACATATAAGGTTGTTTATAGTGTTGAGCCTGCGGTGTATAATACACTGTATAGTCGCACATGTATATTTAATCAACACGTTGTTTTCGAATAAATAGAATACGAGACAATGGCAAACACCTATGGCACCGGGTACCCGTCACTAGCAGGTTACCAGGCACCTCCTGGTTATCAACAGTATGAAACTGACGAGTACAAGAGACAACCTGCCTATGCACCACCACCGGCTCCCGAGGGATACGTGCAACATGTCATGTATCCACAGCCCGTGCTACCTCCACCACCACCACAGCCTCAGCCGAGGCCCAATGTCGTTTTTGTGCACAACACCAGATCTTCCGAAGGTTGCATTTGCATGTGCTGCAGAGCCATTTTCAAGATTATCTGGACGATCATTGTTTTCCTACTCATCGTTATCTTGGTGATTGTCGCGGTTGTGTTCATCAAACAATACCTTATTAAATGATTATTTCATTCTGCGTTCGGTGCAACGGAAACAATAGAGTTGTTGCAAACAGTGCGTATTATTATTATTATTTTTTTTATTTTCTTACTATACTTATTACCATTTTTAGTTGATTATTATTATCCGATGTTATCATTTAAATACGAGCGTGATTAAGAGTTTTACGTATTAATTAATTATTACATAAAACTATTAGATTCGAGATTCCAGTTTTTGTAAGTCATAGTTTTTTCTGTACCTATACTGAATACTTCATGTATTAAAAACAGCCTTATCTGTACGAATATACTCATATGCAAGTATGAATCATTAAATTTATGATAAAAGAATTATCACTGTGCCTTATTTCATCAAATGGATAAAATATTCATCCTTGTGGCTATATTTTTGCTGATGCAAAATGATGGGTCCATTTTTAAATGAGTCATTTGATAAGCCAACTTTTAGCGATGCGTTGATACACAGAAATACTTGTAAGTTTGCAAATTTGACACTTGTCAAAAACATTTTTTATAATCTCCAATCATTGTTTAAAACGTGATCCAAGTATATTATATTACATGGTCAAAGCACCAAGTCTACACACCAAATTTTTAAAAAGTATTTTTACAATATTTCAAAAAAATATTCTCAGATAATATGCATAGTGAATTTTTCATCAATTACTAAATGTTTTTTAAATATGTATGATTGTTATCATGTTCAAGCTTTCCTTTTGAAAAGTTAACGTTAATTACTTTTTCAAGCCAATTGTACTGAAACGTGCTAACACTTGATTTCTAACAGTTAATAAGTTTTTTTTTTCTTTTTCTTTATCAGTTCTAGCTCGATTATAAAACATTTAGCATATACTTACACATCAAATTAACATACTGTTAAAATTTTGAAAAAATACGACCACACGAGATTCGGAATTCCCCACACGCGAATGCACCGATCATTTCACAGTTTGGGGAAGGGAAAATTATTAAATTCATCAATTGAATTTTACATTTATGATGCAAGTTACGCGAAAATTAACTTCCATATTGCGCCGAAATCGTTTTACATTCTTCTATCTAACAGTTTCCACGAATCAATTATATTTAGATGTGAAAAGTAATATAAATTGAACGGATAACAGGGTGCCGGAGTGCGATAGAACACAAAGCGTCCCGAATACGTTGAGTCGTTTCGTCGTTTGACCCAAGGGTTTGTGTTCTATCTGCATAAACAACGTTACTTTTGAATTTTTCACACAACCGATAGTAAGGCCGTGCACGTTTTGGAGGTGATGGCGTGGGTTCCTCGATTGTATCAGTGCGTTTAATTGACACCGAAATGGCCCGAAAAGAACTATGTAGTAAGTGACTGATTAAAATGTGCAAAGTAATTTAAAGCATATTTAGATGATATTTTTTTAAACTGTGGTAGATATGTTGCGTTATTAATTTTTACATTACGTAAGTGTCTTAAGACTATGAAATTTTTATCATCACTCAACCATAAAGGTCATAATATCCCTAGGCACTTTACTCGATTTTTTTCTTTTTATTAAAAAGAATCAGAAGATTGCCAAAACCAGGTGTACATTTTTAAGAAATTTCCAATATTTCTTAGATATTTTTCATGGAATATTTGTTCAAGTGGACGGAGTTCTCCTGGGCACTTTTGATGGACGAATTAACGTACGCCCAGAAAGGGTTGCGACAGACTAACGTGAGCTTCTTATTTTTCAAAATTGTTTTGGTTGATGAACAATTATTTAACTCGATCTGTATATTCTTAATTAATTTTCAAATTGAGTAAAACCATAATTTGTCTGTAAATTAACTCGACTTATACGCTACCTTAAAGTTACTATATGTTGGAAAAAGTTGTTGTTGCATAATAATTATTTCAGAAATAGTGAGCAAGAAAAAACTTTTTTTTAAATGTAACTCTGTAACAAAACTTAGTACAACTGTGTCAAACACAATTATAACTGAAATCGGTTACGAACAAATACGTACGTATATATAAAAATCAAATCGGAAAATAGTACATTCAACCCAAAGCAGATAATTTTCGCTCGAGCAAAGCGTGAATATAAACCATACGAGTAAAACAATGCAACAAATGTGGTTCCGTGAGCTGAAATATCATTTTTTAATTGACCGTTTGTGACTCGATTAATCATAACAAGAAGGTACACTGAGAAACAATATTCGGGATGGAAATTTTGATGTGTGTGTGTTTTTAACGCTTCAACTCGGTAAGTAGTCTTTGAACTAAATTTCTTTCTAAATGAATCTCTAATTCAACGTATAAAAAAAAGAATGCACCGTAGGTTTGTCCAAGTACATACAGTTGATAGATTATCGAGAAAAAAAAATGTAGAACAATTTTTATTTTTTATTTTATTTTATTTTTATTTTTTTTACGAAACGAAATGAAAGATGATTAAAGTGTCACACGGTACGCTGTAAAAAGAATTCCTAATCATCTTTTGCCATTCCGCAAATTACTGGTCTACTGTATGAATCCACGGATTTTTGCACCAAAGACAAGCTCTACGTATAGCGTTTTTAACAAGATTCGTTCAACTTGCAATTCATTCTTAATAATAATATTTTAAAAATTTTTTAACCAAATAAATACATCATTTATGTTGTCAACGTATAAGCAATTAAATTAAAAGTAAGTAATTAAATGCTACAAAGTTAATTTTCGAATCTCNTTTTTATTTTTTTTACGAAACGAAATGAAAGATGATTAAAGTGTCACACGGTACGCTGTAAAAAGAATTCCTAATCGTCACTGCTATCTTATCTCTCGAATCAGTGAGTCATATACGTCGCTCGACAGAATAATACGTACTCCTTGCTCTTACAACGCGTAACTCAAGCGCGAGTCGACAGTCGTAATATTGCGCCCAACTTGCCCCACTCGTACTGCAGTGGGTATATACACTCGCGAAAGTGCCATTTTTTGACATAAAATCATGAGTGACATTGGTTACATGTCGAATCCTCCGGATTCCGGGCCACAGCAGATGCATTCGCCGAGCGACAGCAACAACTTTGGCTACATGCACAACCCACCAGCTGCCGACAACGTCGGGTACATGAACAACCCACCGCCGCCACAGCCGATGTTCCCACCGAGCGACAACGTCGGGTACATGAACAACCCACCACCGCCACAGCCGATGTTCCCACCGAGCGACAACGTCGGGTACATGAACAACCCACCACCGCCACAGCCGATGTTCCCACCGAGCGACAACGTCGGGTACATGAACAACCCACCACCGCCACAACCGGTGTTCATCTCGCCCCCTCAGGAGATGTACTCTCCACCACAGCCGGTCTTCTCAACGACTGAGACGCATTTCACGACGGTCCACTCCGGTGGCACGGAGTACATGAACCATCCACCACAGTCCAACGATTGTGATTGCTGTGCAATTATTTAACGACAACAAATTCACCCAAAAGTGCTGGATACCGTAAATCGTGCAAAACAAAAAAATATTTCATCGGTTTGTTAAATGTACAAAAGAAAAAATAACCGTGGATTCAAATTTACTCTAGTACATGTATTTCCGTTTGGTTTTTTTTCGCATCCCACATATTTTGTGCTTGTATAACGTACTTAAATACCTACGTTTGCTGTGTGTATGTACAGTTGCTGTATCATGTAAATTATATGTGCCGCGCAATCATTAAAATTAATTTTAAACAAAGAGTGCCAGCTTTTATGTTGTTTTTTTTTTTCTCATCCTCGAGTAATTTTTTTCCAATAAAACGAATGCAATCAACTAAAAATATATGATATGTACATGTGTATGTATTAAAAAAAAACACCAAAACTGAAATAATTGCAGGTGGCGAGGTACTGATGGTCTGAAAAGCATACGTGACGTTTGTATTTTCCCGTGAATACTCTTATCTTGCAGATGATTATCACGTTCATCCGATTTTTTTTTTCGATCGGCTACTCCTACAGTATCGGTTCGGTAAAAGAGACGACCACATAGCTGTTTGATTTCTAAACTACGCAAACTCGCACGAACTGATAAGCATAAAATAATATAATACAGAGAAAACAAAGAAATGTCAACTAATGTCGTAACTTACCAATATCCACCAAAGTACTCGAGCAATATTCAGGAAAGTGTTAACGGTGACGTCCCGCCGATTCGATTCGACTTCGAGGCGTCGTCCAAGATAATTTATACGAAGGGCGAGACGTCCGAGCCAAAAGTCGTGGTGATAACGCCAGTTTACAATTACGGCAGATGGACCATTGGATTTTACAAGGCTATTTATTTCTCCGTCATATTTCTCAGTTTGTACACGATCGTGGGATTTTTCGTACGAATATTTAGACTGGGCAATTCGTATTGAAAATACCAATCGACAAGTTTTACGGCTTATCTACAAATACACGGGTTATCTTGTGTACAGGTAAAAGACAGAGTGGATGAATTGTAAGTTGTTAAAAAAAAAAAAAAAAGGTCACAACTACAAGGTCAAACGAAAAGCAATTGTAGGGGATGGAACGAGCGCTTGTATACTTGTATGTAGAAAAAGGTAAAAAAGCTGGTGTTGGTAATTAACGCGCAATTAAATGAAGTTCGTTGAAAATAAATGCACTTATCTAAACGTCACGCAACGTGCAGTTTTGATATCAAATCTATCTCTCCATTGGGTTGAAAAAACAACAGTGCCAGCCCCCTATCAAGCGAATATTGATGAACGAATATGACATCGTAAATATTTCGTGATATCGTCTCTATACGTGAAATGTAGTGCAACTGTGTGACATAATATCTAAAAATATCTATTGGCATTTAAATTCAAACTAAAATCGAAGAATGAAATTTTCAAGAAAACTTACATTTTAGTGCATGGACGTTATTAACGTGTAAATAAATAAATAAAGCTCGAAGCTTTGTACGCACGAACCACAAGTGGATCCCCACCAATGTCATATTGTTTTCTCTTATCATGCCGTTGCTCGAATGAAGCAACCGCGTCAACGGCTCGTTAGTATCCCGTTGTCGCAGGTGTAGAGAGGTGCTTCGAAAAATTAAATGAAAAATGACCGTTTCAACGATATACAACGGCCCGGATTACCTCGCGCAGGTGCATCCTCATCATCAGCATTACAATCAACATCAGTATCAACAACCACCTCCGCCGTACGACAGCACCTATCCGAGCAACAACGCAGGGTATAATCCACAACGAACGCCAATTACAGGGTTACCGTCGCAAACTGCTCCGCGAGTGGTCTACGTTCAACAGCCCATTTCTTGTCTCAACAGAAATATTGTTCGGAAGATCCTACTGTTCATTGTGATACTCATCATTGTCGGTATGATAATGGCGACCGTCAGGTTACTTTTCGGACAACGAAGGCACTGAAATTACTTCGTCGCTCTGTGCTCAAAACCAGCTCACACGTGCTCTATTTTCTATTTTGTAAGGCATGTACAATCGTACATGTAAATTGTAAGACATATACATTTATCTATATTTTTTGTAACATTCACGATTGTAGCTAAGAAAAGTAACTATACATACTATGTTCTCTATAAACTTGGTAAATTTTACATTACTTTTTTGTACTGATAACTTTGTGCGTTTTAAACAACACGCACTTTTATGTCGAAAAATAAATACTGAATGATAATTTTAAAAACTATCTTGTTATTATAGAGCCTTACCTGATTCAGCTGCAAGATAAACATTTTTTTACGAATGGTTGATTACGTATCATATAATCCGTGGTTTTTCAACTTTCTCTCTCTTTATCATAGGTTTAAAAAGTGTAAGTGAGAGAAAGAGAGGAAGCAAGCATTTTCCGTTGAATTATTGTTGTGAATTTTTTTATTAAAAGTTATGAAAATTAATTATTACGCTTAATTTTAGAAAGAATAATACATTTTAATGATTAATAAAACGATTGCACAACAAAACTTAAGAAAAACATAGTTTTTGACGACTGCGTTTACTAACGGCAAAATGTAATTTTTTTTTTTTTTTTTTTAACTGATGCTATAAATAGTCAACATTTTTTAGAAAATCGAAGATCTGCAAAAGGTAAAGAAGTGTTTTTTACACTCTTAAAATTGTTCTTCAATATTACTATTAATTTCCAAAGTGTAATTAATGTAAATTATTTGTAACTCATAAAACAGTTGGAAAAAAAATGAAATAAAATAAAACATTAGATATTAATTAACTGAGCTGTATAATATTTATAGAAACTAATCTGCATTATGTGTAAGTATTAATATCAATTGATTACAATAAACGAGTCTGATAAAAGAGTCGTTAGATAAGACCTGAACTTCAAAGAAAATTTGTGCCGGTTTATTATTATTATTTGTTTGTTGCAAGGTATCTTAAGTTAAAAATCTTTAATAAAAAAAATTAATTTATTTCTCAATCATAGGGTAAAGGTGTGTGCATATGGTAATTTACATGAGCAATATGTTTTTAACACATCCAAGCATTGGTGATTCCCACCTATTGCTCGCCCAGACGTGACTGACATATCTCAATAATTCAGGGAAAACGTTACAAGTATTTATTTGTTGCTAAAAATGCTTCGTGAATCACATGAGCTTCGGTTTACGATGACTTTTGCAATGACGTCGATTCTTCGTATGATATCATCTTTAAGCTACGACTACATAAAGTCGTATAAGTATCCGAGATCAAGATTCGTAGCTCGTTTTATGTGATCAGTTGACGCTGCAGGTCTCAAGCTTCTCAATGTAATCGCAGCCTAAGTAATTTAAACCGTCGAGCGTTCGAACGCTCGAAGTGTTCTAGCAGACAGAGCAAGTATAGAGCAACCTGAGCAACTTTTTGCGCGCACGCGCCGAGATTCCTCAGATCAGACGGTCAGTCGCTTGCAAGCCTTCGCCAGAGTCGGATCTGCGTCAAAATAAAAGTCGAAAATGAGTCAACCTGGTTGGGCCGTCCCGGACCCCTACATGAATCATCCACCACAGTATCAACCTCAGCCAATGTATCCACCACAGCCACCTCAACAAATGCAGTATCCGCCTCAACAGATGTACGCACCACCACCGCCAGTTTATACACAACAACCTGTCGTCGTTCACACGACTGAATATGTTCAACATGCGCCTCCACCCGCACAACAGAACAGCGACTTCGATTGTTGCAAAATTTGCTTCTACTCGTGCCTGGCGTACTGCTGTTGCAAAATGTGTTGTGATTGCGATTAACATAGTTTTTTTCATTAGTCACTCGCGATGTAAAATTAATTAAATAATATTATAATGTACCGTGGACTTCTCTCACACAAACTGACTAATATTGTATACTTGTAAACCTATACATGTATGACTCTCGTCGAACCTTCACGACGAAGAAATTAAATGGCCGTATGCTCTCGTAAAGTGCGTGCGTGCGTGTGCGTTTCTGCAAACTACCAATGCTTGTATTTTGATAAAAGTTGATCGTATTGCCGTGCCTTTTACGTATATTTATATATAAATGTGATCAACGTGAGACTACGTGCGAGTATAGCGTGACGAATGTTTTTATTATATATATAGGACAGATATTTTTTCTCTTTTTTTTTTTTTTTTATACATAAGTATATGAAAAATGATTGTTTGAGAAAAGTTGCGCAAACAATGTGTAGTGTTTTGCATCGGGGAAAATTTTTATAAATATATGTAAATATCAAATTGGTGATACTATGCGATCGACCATGTTATGTAGTTTGCCTTCGACTTCCACCCACGTTGATGCGTAAAAGATATATATATATATGTGTGTGTGTGTGTATTTATACAGCATGTAACAATTATTTTTTTAAATTATACCTTATTTAGATGAATATTTTCATGTAAATAATAATCCAAGGCCGCTTGAAAGCTAGAAGCATTTTAATTATTACACATGCCATTAAGAGTAAACGCTTCCCTTACTTTTCTGAAAGTCTGAATTTCTCATATGTAATTTTCCGTCAGCTGAAAGAATTGTATTTTTTTTACTGATAAAATCCAAGCTCAACGTTGTAAAATACTTCCACATTATCTGGCAGTAAAGAGGTGCAGTACCTGACATTTGTCGATAAGCATCAATTTCAAGAGGATTGTTTTTTTTCCGTTTTCACATGATAAGTCGATGATTTTGAACAAATCGATAAAGATGCTTTCATAAGCCGTTGAGAATATGTGTAGATTTTTCAAGAAATATTCATAATATTTATTGTAGTAAATAAATTTAATGTAAAGTATATCAACTGAATTTTTTTTTTTATTACCACGAATATCCATCATTTTAAATTTCTTTCGTTTCAAAATATTAACTGTAAGTATTAATTACATTTTTCTGTCTATAAAATAATACATAAAATTTCGTACGAATCTATGTAAAAATAAGAAATGACATCAAAATCTTTCAAGAAGTTTCAATAAGCAGAGAGTACGTAAGTTATCACTCGCAAATTAAAAAAATTAGATACGATTAACAGAAGTTATCAGCAGTCTGCGTTAACATACCTGTGCTAATATGACTCATTGGTCGTATTAATTGATGATTTAATTACATGAGGTAAAATATCAACAAGAGGGAATTTAAAAATTCCACAAGCGCAGAAATTTGATAAGTAATTTTTATGTAAAACAAAATATTTGAGCATGAAACACGTTTATCATATTTTTTATAGGAGTAAAAAAGTATAATGTACCTTAGTGACATTGATAACTGTTTATTATTCCCTATGGATTCAAATAAATTGACTTTTTTTTAATAATACTTTTAAGTGGAAATTTCAAAAATTGGCCGAATGAATTTAAAATAGTTTTTAATATTTTTAATAATTTTTTTTACCACGTTAAAATCTTTGGAAAATATTGTTTTAAATCAGCACTTTTCTGTCACTTTTACAGCTTACGCTATATAACATGGAGTTCAGAAAATGTAATTTGTTGTACGATTTATTAAGAGAATTGAGATGGAATAATTGTCAATAGATCGCCTGAAAATTTTTTGTCAGTTAAAAAATGAATTTTTTTGTCTGTTATTTGATTTTCACCAAGTAATTTTTCTAGTCAACAAAAGTTGTATGTTTGAAAAAAAAAAAAAAAAAAAAACTCTTTTCCACGTGACAAATGTTATAACTGACAACTTAACATTAAATCATGAATTTCCGTATGCAAAAAGTGATGGCATCCGTGGAAAAATGAACGATAACTATAAGCTATTTGTAATCAGAAAACAAAAGAGAAAAAAAGCGCTAGTAAAGTAATATACATCTAGTGATCGATGATTCACCAAAAACGAAGATAGACGTATCAATTTAAGCTCGCTCGAATATATGTGTATATATATTTTTTTTCAGCTGAAAAAACACTTGCTCAACCGATCCACGAGAGATAACATGATATATATATATATATGTGTGTGCAAGCTCGGACGGTAGAAACGAGCTTACATCCCATATATATTACCTTTGAGACACACACACACTCGGTTATCTCTCGCGCGAAAGATAAAGCCCTGGTACTTAGGAATAAAATAAAAAAGCGCGCGTAGTCAGTACCCATTGTAACGCGGCCGGTTCACCTACTCTTCTCAGACTCCCGTGTCGCTTGCAATAATCACCGTGTGTGCCAAGATGGAAATGAATCACCCGGCCCAGCAGATGTACCCGTCTGGCGAGGAGATGAACCACCCGCCACAACCGAGTTACCATCAACCCGGCCAAGAGATGAACCAACCACCCCAGCAGATGTACCCACCCGGCCAAGAGATGAACCATCCACCCCAGCAAATGGACCCGGGTAATCATCACCCGTACCAGCCTGGACCTCAACAGATGTATCCTCCCGGGCCCCAGCAGATGTATTCGCCTGGACCCCAAGAAATGTAAGCCGAGGACATTCCAGTTGCATTTTTACCACCGTGTACATATATATTATTTTATGTGTATACATGTTTTTTTTTTTTATGTTCAGAGGGAAAAGAGCGATGATTTGTCAAATACACGTTAGTTAATTTTATACCACGATAACTGCATACTTTTATTTTAACTATACGCACCACGTGCCCGCCTATCCACATTCCTAATTGTTCCGCCTCGTTTTGGACGATCGGCCCGGGTGCCGATGTACTTTTATAGTGTGTTAACATTAAAAAATTATTGTATGGAATATGTGTAATCTTTTATATAAACATGTTATCGGCACCTTGTAAAAAATCCTTATCTTTTCCAAGATAAGTATCACTCGAATGACATTGTAATGAGTAATCGGGAGAAAAATATACATGTCGTTTTTGTTTTTTTTCTATACCTGACAGGTAGAAAGGAACCATCAACGACAGTAGGTCGCGAGCGTCGGTCAATGCAAGTTAAAATCGGCAAATGGCCACATCGCAGACAAGTGTATATTTACACACACGGAAAAAATAATTCAACCGGAATTTTTCCACGTGGACGGACGCATATCTTAGTGCCGAACAGTTGGGCCTAAAATGAGTGGGGAACGTTATTGCACTTCATGAAGCGACACTTTCACCTAGAAAGAGAGCGCTGCCGGTTTTCCCTTCGGCTTTACGGCTGAAAAGTTCTCCCCTTGGAAAAGTCCGAGCTGTGGCGTTTCCCACTAATAGTGCCATTTTCAAGGTAGACTACAGTCGTTACACCCCAGTGCTTATATATACCGTTTTTGGTTTTGACTATAGTGCAGTATCGAATTATTGGAGCTCAGGAGCACTTACCTCGGTCGAAATTATATCAGTTACACTCCACCAGCTCGAAGGCTTTAGACCACCAGTGGTCCGAACAAACACACCAGCTCTCGTCGGTCGCAATTGTCTTCCGTGTGCGTGCATACATCGCAAGAACAAGAGTTATTGGTCACGTACTTTTTTTCAAGTTATCAAGTTCATCCCGATCTTTACGAAACATATCCAAGTAAAGACAAGCGAGAATTGGTGACTTTTTTGCAAGGTGGTGCAACTATCGTGAAGTGGGTGTATATGTATATATATATATGTGCATGTGCCTTACACATACAGCTGAACCTTTTTTTTTCTCGGCTCTCATTATTCTTCAACTCGTAATATCCTACAACTCGACAAAAGGGAGAGTCAAGTTGTTTTGTGGTTTTCTCGAGTGATGAAAAATTTCGGCAATACGCGTTGGGTATACGCGCGATTGTAAAGTGCAAAAGACACGCGCGATAACGTACCCGCGTAAACACGAAATCAAGGGGATCGATATCGATGGAAAGACTTTTCTCTATCGAGCATTGCTAGTCCGCTTGGATACACGTTATCAGTTGGACAAAGAATCGATGATAAAGACGTCGCTCTCTGATCTATACACTATATATATATATATTCAGAGTTTTTACTCGTTATTGTACCTTGTGGTTACGGCTATACGTGTACGTGTGTAACGCTTGATAACCGATAGACGAAAATGGCATCTACTTCGCACGCCTCCAACACGAGTGTGAACAACGGTGATTCGGTGGTCATTAATTTTTACCCGTCGAGGAAACAAGACACCGTGAGCAGGATTTTTTTGCCACTGTCGAATTTGAATGTGGAATCGAACGCGGAGTCGCCGCAACCAGCCTACAACAAAACGGTCATTCTGTGTTACAAGATACTCTACTGGATCCTCATGATATTTTCGTTGTGCGTGATTGTCGGCTTCTTTGCAAGATTTTTTACCCTCAGTACCGTTTAGTGCAGTGTGTGCTTTTGGCGCCGAGAACAATTTTATAATGACGATACAATGATGTTTAGGTTAAAACAACATTCGTTGTATAAAAGTGTTGAAAAACGAAACGATTTTTTAAAAGTAATATGTACCGTGAAAAAAAAAAAAAAAAAAAATTGAAACGTATAGTGTTGGAAAAATGTGTACGGTTCGTGTATGTTCGCACACGTATGATAAAACTTTGATAAATGCATCGCATGGACATTATCTCGTCGGAAAATAATAATGTAGGATCGTTTTAAAATTATAATGTCATTAAGACTTTGACATGCCATATTGGCTTTTTACTAGAGCAATACAATGGAACGTTTTGTATTTCAAAGTTTAATCGTTATTTTTTATGTTTGTACCTATCAGTGTAATTATTGTTTTTACATCCTAACAATGGATTTTATAATAAACATTTTTTATACAACAAATACCGCTGTGTTTTATTTGTTTGGTCGGAGCACGCGGTGGCTCGGTCGGCTAGGTCGTGGATTGGCACGCGGGAGACCGTGGTTCAATTCCCGGCCAGTGCGACTTATCGGGCAAGTACCTCTGTGATTGTTCACATGTGCTTTTTCACCACGCAATGCTCCTCGAGGAGGGTTTAGGCGACCTTCTCGCAGCAAAAATTGCCTAATTTCCCCCTACCCCCCTCCCAGTATTGTGAGGCCTCCCATCCCTCTTCCCTTCCTTCTCCCAAGTGCTAAGTGCCCTTTATAGGAGCCGGACGTAAAGCACTATAATATAAAAAAAAAAAAAATTTGTTTGGTCGTTTACCGTCCATGTCGGGGAGTATTTTCGTTGTCCACAGCATCATCAAGGTTTTTCTCACTTTTATTGAAACGTTTTTTTTTTACAAATATTTTAGTCCCGAAGGAATTTTTCGCTCAAAAAATTTTCACACAAGAAAATTCAAAGACCATTTATGTATAAAAAATAAATATTGCAAACATCTCTCCACAGAATCCCCCCCCCCACCCCCGTTTTAAAAAGCTACTTTGTGGATTAAGTGTGCCCATTGCTTGTACAAAATATCCTCACCTTTAAGATTGATATAAATTCAATTAACTAATAAAATTATCATCAACCACCTGCATAACGGGTACGCTTAAAAATTATTGATTAATAATTAATCCTGCAAGCTTGCACGAGTTTTCATCACACCGGACATGCGTCATTTGCTCCCACTTCATCAATTCTATAGATTATTTATCGCGCGCGTATATAAGGAGAAAATAATAAACAAGAAAAAGTCAATTACTGCAAAGTTTCGACACTTGGACGTCAAGTCGATCGGAATAATATGGCTATCGGTAGCATCGCCTCCAAGCAGCAAAAGATACCTCAAGTGCATCGTCCTGATCGAACCCAGTCATTGGCTGCAAAAGCAGAGTGTGGAAGCCACTCGCCGAGGGTAGCGTCCAAGATCTTCATAATACCAGAAGAGGCCGACAAATGCGTTATTTCCAACGTTTGCCGGTTGGCAGTTTTGTTTTTTGGCGTCATTTTCATTGTTTCGGCGCTTTTTTGCCAGTACATGCACTGGATCAATCGTAACGATCGGAGTTTAATTATTGAGGAAACGAAGATAAATAATTTCAAGCAAAACCCTAGAACGAGTGATTCACGCAACTTGTAACGAGTGTGGATGAAAGTGCGCCCACAGTGTGTCAGGCAATTCAGAGAATTATTTCATAAAATATATTTATGTACTAAATTTAAGACAAAGTGCATGAACAAAATTAGCTCGTGTAAATACAAGTTGTAAGTTTTATATTTTTAAATGTTTTAATAATTTAAATTAGTATTTTTAATACATAAAAATGACACGTTCTCGTCATTAAAAATAATATTTCGAAAATTCGTATTTCGTCTCTCTATTCCATTCGGAATCCTATGTACAATTGATGCTACTTTAGATTTTTTTTTTTTTTTAATTCAATTTATCGTATTAATCCCGAATAAGTAATCGATGAATCTCTTTATTCCTCAAGTGATTGGCTTTAATTGATTACGCATTAATTGACAGCTTGGAGTTTCCAAAGTTTATTTATATATATATATNTTTTTTTTTTTGAGGGAATATAATAATTTATATTTTCGAGTTCAATAAACGTAAAAGATACGCTTTCAAAAAAAGCTAATGATTTTTCATTCGTCCTCGATAAATTTTAGAAAGCAAAGGTGTTTCATGAAAATGTTAGGGATCGGCGAGTGAATAAACACCTAAGAGGGATACAATAGCTCCTGCAGTACTGCGGATAATAGTAGACCAATGAAATCATCGAGAGTTTCACATTATGTACCCACGAAATGTACGTACGTCATTCCCTATCTGTTTTTGCAACTTATCAGTCAATTCACCGTTTCGGTTTCTGTTATCTTGAGACACGTGTGCGTCTGGGGCATACCTTTATTGTTATTCCTCCTTCCGCCGATTTCTTCCATTGAAATACAATTTTTCTCAGAGGCAGGGAATAATCGCTTATATTTTTTCATGTTACACGTGCCACTTCCACCGAAAATGCTTATGAGAAAAACAGTATACTTAAGCACAAACAAGGTATAGACATGTAAATGGAAAGTTGTTGTCAAAATGTCCTTCCAACTTGTTCGCAACTTTACAAATATCTCACTCAAAACTTTCGCATGGGCTTACAATTTTCATTTTTAGAACAAGACATGAAAAAAGGCGAAAAAGTTTCCTCTATACCTACAATACACATGTGACACAACTAATATTGTATTTGGAAACAAAATTGAAAATGAAAAAAAGTGTTTCACTCGTCATTCAAAAAGGTGTGCTTGGAAAAAAAAAAAACTTACTTTTTGTGATAAAGTTGACTATACTGACCTGTTATGAGTATACAATGTATTCATTATATAATAAATGTGTGTATGTAACGTGAAAAAAAAAAATACATACATCTCCAGTCTCCGCAGAGGCGAAGACAATACAATAACAAAACAGTCTTCCGTTATGTTTATGTAAACCGTCAAGGTAGGAACGAAATAATGTAACATTGATTCCTACCCAAGGCAAAAACAAGTCTTGTCCAACAACGACAAGAAAAAGAAAATTTTTTAAAATCAGTTTAAACGAATCGATTTGGAAGATTTTAAATATAGCGACGAAACTTTTTTTGTTACGCGTGTCAAAAAAAAAGTTATCAACATTTTTTTTTCACAAAAAGTTAACAAACAACCAAAACTGTACTTTTTTCTTTAAAAAGAAAAAAAAAAAAAAAAATTCACTATTACTATTTAAAATAAGAGTCTCGTTAACAATATATACGTACATACGAGCCAATTGGAACACGGGAGGATGCGGCAACTGCGGCAAGTGCCGAGAGAGAGCTCTCGCGCGGCCGGCAAAAACTCGTGGTTGAGTTGTGGAGAAATTCCTCAAGTTATCTCAAGTTATATGAATCCTAATGACTATAACATGTACTTAAGCACGTATTATAAGTAAGTACTTACTTTTTGATTTCAAACTAAAGTTACGTGTGTGTTTCGTTAAAAAAAAAAACTCGTTCGAGGTTTAATTTGTAAGGTACTTGCTTCATGAGAAAGTTTCCGTCGAACAACAATTCACGCGCTTACAACTATGTTTCTCTGTTATTTTTCTATGCGAATACGAAATTGTTAAAAGCAAAACTTGTCAAACATGTTTTAATTGATCTATTTGCTGTTATTTAGATACGCACGTAAGTACTACAGCAGATCCCTTTAATAACAGAATTGAGTGGTATTTCGAGGTTATACCCGTTGTTTCCTCGTCTGGCATCCGTTGCATTTGTTTTTGCAACAGTTCTCATTGTTGCTTTTATAATATCCCCGTATTGAAAGGTACGGAATAAAAACTGACCAAAAGTTGAATTAATGTCAGTTGAACATGTACTGGTATTGGGATAAACAAGCAATCGAAACCAATACGCCATCGATTCAAGATGGAGTTGATCATCTTACAGAATACAAGTTTAGAAAAGAAGGTGCCACCTTTATAGCACAATTAGGATCTAATATGGACCTTGGCTACAATACGCTAGCCACTGGAGTGGTCTTTTTTCACCGATTTTACATGTTTCATTCTTTTACAGAATTTCCTAAATATGTAAACATTCAAAATGATAGAGTTGTAAACTAAAAATGAATGCATTGTGTAGCTTAACTTGAGAATATGTTATAGGTAACAGCAGCCTGTTGCCTGTTTCTGGCTGGTAAAGTTGAAGAGACACCAAAAAAATGCAAAGATATTATAAAAATTGCCAAAAACTTACTGTCCAAAGAAAATTTTGCATCTTTTGGCGTCGACCCCAAGGAAGAAATGATGACATTGGAAAAAATTCTTTTACAAACCATGAAGTTTGACTTCAAAGTGCAACATCCTTATTCATATTTAACAACTTATGCGAAATGTCTTAAAGGTAATAGACAACAGTTTTTAAATAATTACGTGTTTCATATACGTTATGTTTTTCTGTACATTTATACTCATAGGAGATAAAATTAAACTTCAAAAGATGGTACAAATGGCATGGACGTTTATTAATGACAGGTATTTTCCCATGCTAATTATTTAAAATATGCATTCACTAACATTTCTTACTTTCAGCCTATGTACAACACTTTCGGTAGAGTGGGAGCCTGAAATTATTGCCATAGCTGTTATGTACTTGGCTGGAAAGCTAAGTAAATTCAAAGTAATTGATTGGAGTGCTAGAAAGTCGCATCATTTATATTGGTGGGACTCGTTTGTTGAAGATTTAAACATAAGTGTCTTAGAAGGTACACATTACTTTGAGTTAGGAAAATCTTTGCTTAGATCTGAATCACGTGTCGTTTATTTCTTTAGACATTTGCCATCAGATACTTGATTTATATTCACCTCTGAACGAGAAGAAAAAATTAGTGTCTGATTCCGATGGCAATGCATTAGAAATCGAAGCTGTCACTACTGCTGTTACTTCTGTAGGGATATCACCGTCAGTAGGATCCACTAATTATTTTACCACAGTGCCCTCCACAACTTTAACAACTAATTCAACATCTTCTACAGCTACTCGTGAGTAATTTTTTTTTTTATGTTTTTTTTTTTTTTTTTTTTTTTTTTTTTTTAAGAAACATTTAATTTCTTCATTTATTTTTATGTTTTTTTTTTTTCTTCTAACATTTTTACAGCTGTTGTCGTGCCAAAAAATTCTCAAGCCATATTGCCATGGCTGCCTTCTTTAATGAAACCCGATGCAACTAAAACATCGACCACTCTGATGATAAACAAATCGACCTCACTTCCAAATTTCAACTCAACTCATTCAAATTCTTTTAAAATTAAACAAGAAAAAACTCCGAATTCGGACAACGAATCTCCATCACCTAATTATTCAGTTCAAACGCTACCTTTCAATAGTTTCATGAACTATCAAGATAATCAATTGGGAGATTATCAGCTTAACCGATCCTTTATGAATGAAAAAAATAATGATTTATGGAATCATGCCAGAGATGAAGAACTTCAAAAACATGTATACTCATCAAACATGTTTCAGGGTTCCATTTATCGCAATCCTTTCAGCAATTGGGGCAACATGTTTAATCGTGAAAATAATCGTAGAGTTGGTCCAGTAAGAAATTCAAAACGATTTTTCAAAAATTGAAAAAATTAAAAACGCAAGCTTTCTTGCGACCATTTTTATTTCAAATGTTTTTAAAAACTACTATTTTTTAAAAGTATTGTGAACTTATAACAAATGTGCCCTGTTATAAGACGTATGTAATTAATAATGATATTAAATTACTTTTATACTTATTTAAGCGACAAATAAAACTTTTCTTTCAACATACTTTATAATTGCTCTCTCTACACAGTCTATACGGTCTCTATAGATACGTAAATATAATATATATATATAGTCCCCAGTATCCCCACATATAACGTCGACCGTCGTCGACACGTGGCCAAAGAGACTAAAAGAGTTATATCTCGGATTCAGATTCCGACCTGACGACTGCACTGATGATAAATGTTGCATGAGAGGTGGCTCAGCCTCTACTTATACATGTTAACCAAATAGGAGAGATAAGAGTGTGACAAGGCTTTAAACGAAGGGACCAAGAAAAGTCTTAAGTGAAATTAATTATCGTATTTATCGTCTCTCGTAAACACGTATCGGTTGTACAAGTGTTTAAAAGTGTAGGGCAAGGTTATGCTTTTATTTTGTTGTTCGTAAACAAGCTACAAAAAAAATCCTTGGATAGTATCTGTGTTTCATAAGTTGTTCAAGAATTTGACCCCAAAAAAATATGGGTCTTCATCAATGGTACTGGGAAAGAGACGTGATTGAGACCGACACACCATCAAGACAGGATGGATTGGACTATGCAACCGAGTTATTGCACAGACAAAAGGGTGCCAGGTTCATTGTTGACTGTGGCAGAGAAATAACCAAAGTTTATAATACTTTTGCAACTGGTGTGGTTTTTTTTCATCGATTTTACATGTTCCGTTCTTTCAAGACATTTCCTCCGTATGTAAGTAAATATATTTTCACTGATAATTATATAATGAAGAAAGATTGGTCTTTTAATTAGTTTTAAAGAGCTTCGAAGTGGGAATGAAAAAATTCTATCTTGTCTCTTGAGAAAATTGTAAAATTTGGTAGTTTTTTTTTATTTCATTCACTTTTGCATGTTTTGACAGGAGTTTTAATATTTTTTTGTTATGTTGAATGAACTTACATTTTCTTTTCAAGCTCTAATATAAGTTTGTTTGATGAGTCACAAGTAATTAAATGATTGTTATTATTAGCGAATTTCATTTAGTGTCAAATGATTCAATATTAATTTATTAACCCATTACACTATCCTGTAGTTTATTACTACATTAAACATCACGTTGGCAATGTAGATTTTCTGTAAGTAATATTTGCCAATACCTTAGGTGACTGCTGCATGCTGTCTGTACTTGGCTGGGAAAGTAGAGGAAACACCAAAAAGGTGTAAAGACATAATAAAGACTGCAAAAGCTTTGCTCAATGAAAAAGATTTTGCCTCCTTTGGCGAAGACCCAGTAGAAGAGGTCATGGCAATGGAAAGAATTTTATTGCAAACGATCAAATTTGATCTGATAGTATTTCATCCTTACTTTTTCTTGAAGAAGTACATCAAGTGCCTCAAAGCAAACAAAGAACTGTTACAAGAAGTTCTGCAGATGGCGTGGAACTTTGTCAATGATAGGTGGGTATATCATTATTTAATGCAAGTGCTTTTTTAGCTCATAATAATAATTTTGTGATAACTAGTTTATGTACAACACTGTCAATCGAATGGGAACCCGAAATAGTGGCCATTGCTAGCATTCACTTGGCTGGTAAGTTGTGCAAGTTGAAAATTTCAGGTTGGACTGGTAGAATACCTGATCAAAAACACTGGTGGGATATGTTTGTTCAAGATCTAAACCTGAATGTTTTGGATGGTAACGAAATATATTTACATTTTATTAAAACAACTATTTTGTTTTTTTATAAATTAATGATGTACATACTTATTTTACAATAACGTCATTAGATATTTGTCACCGAATTCTGGATCTGTATTCTTCAAAGGACAAACAATCAAACTTGGTTGCATATGTGACGAAAGCCATAAGTCAAAAAACTTCTGCCCTTGCTGAACGTGAGTATCATTACATTTTTTATTTTATTTTTTATTTTTTTAATTTTTAGTATTAGTCATTTATAACTTAACATGAAAAATCAAAAAATCAATAAAAATAAATTTTTGTTCAGCAACAACTCCACCAAAGGTTGAGTCACCATCTCAGCAGTCGGCAGAGACATCGAAAGTGGTAACCTCGTGGCCGCCATTTCCAACAATGCCACCTACGAACAATCCAATGCAGCCGTCTTTTACACTCCCAAACTTAACAGTTCCTCCACCGACGACGCACGTACCGTATCCTATGACAAATCTCACTGTTCCTCCGCCGACACATTTTCCTCCAGCAAATCTAACAGTGCCTCCACCATCAATGATGAACTATTACGATCAGTACATGCCGTACTAGTTTTATCGTAAAATAGCTTCGTTATATTTTTAAAGAAACATAATGCTGATCGTCTTACGAGATGCATGCAGTTGTGCGTTACAAATAACCGTTTAAAATATTATGTGTTGATTTTATTCATTTTTAGATTGAATTGTATTATTAAATCAATTTTTGCAATTCCGATAGCGCAATTGCAAACGCACTATCACGAACTGAAAATTTGGTGATGGGTCAGAAAGACTTTAGCAAAATGAACGTTTATTAATTGTTCCACTCACGATGTTTGCGTGATTTTTTTGTTTTTTTTTGTTTTGTTTTTTTATATTTGTTGTTTCAGAAATCCAAACATCCCCGATCGTATCTGTTATAGAAATTTAACCACACAATCATCAGTCATTTATTTAGTTGTTAAAGTTTTATCAATGTTTGAATATTTTATTTTCCGCCTATCTACTATGTATATAATTGTAAATTAGAGTTATAAAAATGCATTTTTGCATGGAAGATTTTTAAATAAAAGTTTGTTATGCAGTTTAATTTAATTGTGTTTTATTTTTTCCATACACATTAGCGAGTTTGCAAAAAAAAATAACGTAAAAAAAAACTTAAATTTGTACTTGTTCTCAAGCTGTTGAGAACAGAGTGACTTAAACGTTTATCGATAGCAGCTGGTGTCATCTTTGTACATACACACACGCAGTTCACAGTAGAAGCCGTAAGTATATACATGTATTCAGTCAGTCGACAGCTCCGATTTGTGCTCGTATATTTCCCACCTCTCTCTTTCTGATTCTGTAAAACAACAGCCCATGAAAAATTAACACTCATCCTATGAAAAAAATCATACCAAGGTCATCAACAAGTTACCATCTTCCATAGACGTTTTGCATCAGCTCTCCTTTCTTTTGGCGAAGCGTCGTCCAAAGGGCGGTTTTTTCTGCTTCGGATACTTGGCCTTCTCGTGTATTTCGGCGCAAAACTTGCAGATCGTCTCTTTGGCCGACACCACGACCGGGCAGAGTTTGTGCCTCCAGCGACCTACAACGTAGTCCTTTTGGGCGCAGGGACCGGTGTCGAATTCAGTTATGTTGGGACCACCGCTGCAAACCGGGACTTGGTCCACGTCGCGCAATATGACCTCGAGCTCGCCACAGTCCTTCGGCCGACGAACTTCCAGTGGTGAGAATTTGTTGTTTATGTAGATTTTTATGTCGTCGCTTTCGTGGAATATTACCTGCGAATCGAAAATCTTACGTCAAATATAAATGAATGTGTACGTTTATACACATATACGTGAAAATGACACTAAATTGTCCCCCTTGTATTTTTCTTATCATATAATGGAAAAAAATATCGTACCCTACGGGCCAAATGACAAATCGCTTTATTGTTTTTAGAAAAATCGGTTGATCGCGTCAATCACCTGTTTCTCATAAATCGGCGGTATGAGTACGTCCGACTTGAACCACTTGGCCTTCGAGAATATGATAATGTCCTTGTCGACGCTGTTCTTGTGGTAGCCCCACATGGGATTGGGCAGCTTGATTTTGTGGCTATTGTAAAATATCATGTCAAAGACTCGTATGTTCTTTTGTATCTCCGTCTCCGGCAGCGGATAATCCATCGTGGGATGCGCAGTCTTTTGGCTCTGCGTATTCTGTACGTTGCCGTTGTCGGCGAAAATCGCATTATTCTGGCTCGCATAATCCGCACCTTGGCCCAAAAGGTGCATTTCCTCTTCTGGTACCAGTATCGTCACCTCCTTTGGCTCAATATCAATCGGCTGCTGGTAGTTCGGCAACTTTTCCGACAACTCTTTACTCAATAGCGCGGCATCTGCAAGAAAATGTCACAAAAACACAATGTAACGTATTTTGATTTATTTGTTTTCCAATTGCTTGATGGTGTGTATAAAATTAATTCTTACCCATGAAATCGAAGGGTTCGTTTGTACCATTTGTATTATCGATGCCATTGATTACATTGGCCGGCTTGATTATCTGTATGGATATTATTTTCGGTTTGCCCGATACGTCGATATTACCACCGTCGTCGCCGGTGTCCTGTTTGTCCAGTTCGCCGAACAAATTTTCGTTTATGAAATTGTTGCCGAACAAATCCACTCCGTTAA